GAAAAGAGAGAGTGGGAATAAGTGTCATTCCCACAGACGGCACCAAATGTTGATGCACAAAACCAGTGAGGACTTTGGTACAATAGAAAGTGTCAAGTTTGTGAGCTTCGCTAGATTGCTCCAGTCACTAGTGTGGATAAATATGTAAATGGATAAAGATAGGGAAGCAAACACAAGATGTACGTGGTTCACCCAGATTGGCTATGTCCACGGAGTAGAGGAGTTCTCATTAATTGTGAAGGGTTTACACAAGTACATAGGTTCAAGCTCTCCTTTAGTGAGTACTAGTGAATGATTTAGTACAAATGACATTCGGAAATATTGTGAGAGAATGATCTCTATTTATAGAAGAGAGTTTCTAGTTTCATTCTGACATTAACACGTGTCGTGTTGTGATTGGTTTCTGACATCGACACGTGTCGCGCTGTGATTGTCCTCCTGGTTGGAGGGAAACTCTTCTGGGTCCTTAACGGTATAACGTTGACCGGTGCTCAGTAGTTTCGGGATTGGTCAAGTATGGTACAAACAAATTGTATTGTGGACATACGACTACAAAATTATTTTCCACAATCCAATATTCAAACTTGTTTGAATAGTATGAGATTGCGTCAAGAATCATACAAAATTAGGAAAACTAATGAAAAATGCTTGAAAACTAAGTTTTAACGAAAATGACAAAATAAAATGTAAAGTGAATAGTACAATGATTGACTTTTTAGTGTAAAAATGTGATTTTTCGTTAAAGTGAACAGTATCGAAAGCTTTTCATTAAAATTCTCTAATTAAATTATCTTGTAAGGAGTAGGATCGGTTGAAAAGGTTGAATGGTTACATTTGGGAAGGGGACGGATAAGGGAATAGGATAGGTTTGGGAGGGGCACAATGTGGAAGGGGTACGAGTTTGGGAGGGGCACTGTTTGGAGAAGGGTACGGGTTTGGGAAGGGGATAGGTTGGGAGGGGCAAGGGTTGGGAGAGGGACAGGTAATGTGGGAATGATTATAAATTTTACATATTACAATTGTTTAAGAATATAATAAACTTATGTATATTATAAATTTTTAAGAAATATTAGAAATGTTTACAAAAGTTGGAATTTATAGAAAGGGGTGTAATATCCACACAACCTATTTTACTTCTCACACCCTTCTAATTTTCGGCCGTCGGATCGGATTAATTGAAGAAGATCAACGAACAAAAATTAACAAGAGGTGTGTGAGAAGTAATTTGGGATGTGGATAGCACACCCTTATAGAAATTATTTATATTTTTTTTCAATAGAAGCCTGGGCGTCGCATTAACATTAGCAGTAGTTTTGGCGGAAGAATGAGGGTAGCATACTTAACAAGCGTGCGGCGAACCCTTTTGTTTATTCAATATTGACTCACAAAATACGATCCCGCATCTGTAAAGTAGAAGCCGATGACAGATCTCTTGGTAAATGTGTTTTTTTTTTTAATTTAATATTTTTTAATCATTTTTATTATTCTAAATAGTTACTTAATGTATTTTTATACCTAACACTTGTTTTTTGTCTATTTTAGATCGATTTTGAGACCTATGTAGAAGACTCGGTACGACGGCATACACGACCCTACGGTGTAATGATCGGTTCGGGAATGGAAGTACAAGTTGCGCAACCATTACATAACTTTTGAAAGTAATGAGGAAGCTCTGATGAATGGCACTGACTCTACTGTTATTTTCAGAATTTACAAAATTCTAGAAATCGACGTCTTCCAAGGTAAAGCAATTGAACAAGTAAAGCAGTTTCCCATCCAGAATAAATTTTACTTTATTTTCAATATAATTGTACGAACATTATGGTTTTATTAATGAAATAAATTTGTTTAACATTATGATTTTAATATATTAAAGTTTAGTTAATTAAATTTATACATATTTTAAATTTTTTAATATTAAATAAATCTTGCCTGATGAGAAACGTCGTCTGATAAAGGTTTATATTTTTATTTTCTTTAACTTATCATTCGTCGGGTTAAGATTTTATATTTAAATTTTTTTATTAATAAAGCTATTCATTGGGAAATATTAAGGTTTTATTTTTTTAAATTACAAATTTAAGTTTTGTTCGAGGAAATCTTTCATCCGGTAACAGTGATTCGTCGGGTCTCTTTGGTCAATGCAGACTTGCCCGGCAGAGTATTCGTCAATAAGTTCGTCGGGAAAGGTTAAATTGCCGAACGGATTCTGCTGTTCGTCGAATAAAATGTCTAATGATGGATTTTGCACGACTTTTACGCGACAGATCTCCATCTTCTGAAATGTTAGAAGATGAACACCCAATTCGCGATGTGTTGGCCGACACATGGAATGTGACTAAGCCATAAAGTGTAGTGATGTGGAAAATGTGAATAAATTAAAACCTAAAAGTGACTAATTTAGAAGTGAGTCAAGATGTAGGGTACGACAACAAAGTATCACATCATTAAATCTCAAACCGTTATCATAAGAATTCAATGCTTATTAATTTACGTAGGCACACAAGTCCATTGCAGTGATATTCATACAATGGAACAGGTTGGGTGTAGGTATTACATTACAGTACTACATCATGTGAGATGCACTACTTGCATCACATACGAGTCCAAAACATCACACAAAATGACAGGCTGACACCTAACTCTGGATCCAAAGCGAATGTAAACGGTGCATGTGAACTACACATGAAGCTAGTCCTTGGCCCAGGACAATACAAATAACTAAGAGACAGTTGATAGGAGCATATTTATGCAACTTAGTTAGCTTGTTTTCTTGCATTTTCATAGTTTGTTTGTGTTTATTATAGTGTTCTAAGCTATTTTCGTGTGTTTTGTAGGTCCATATGACAAAGTTGGCAAGAAAGTGCAATTTGGAGCATTTTGAGGCAGTTTTGGGCACCAAATGGATAGCTTATGAATGGAGGAAGATAGATGGACGAATTTGAAGTTCAAGAGGCTAGGAATGAGCTGAAAAGAGTGAAGAAATAAATCCAAGTCAAGGAAGATAAGAAATCAGCTCAAAAGAAGGAACTTTATCCAAAACCTTATCCAACCTTATCTTATCCTTGCCTAACCTAACCTTATCTTATCATATCTTATCCAAATCAATTTGTGCCTTGATTCCAGCTATTTCTAAGGGATAATTATGCATTTAAAACATATATTTCAGATTCTAGAACTCTTATCCCTTAAGTGCAGCATATATGACCTTACCTAGGTGAATTAGGACTTGTAATCCTTCTCTACAACAATGTCGTGTATCCTTATTCATTTAGGATCAGAAATTGGTGCTAGAACATCCTTTCTAGAAGGCCTTATTCCTTGCCCTACAAATCTGTCGCCCAAACCTTTCTAGAAGTTCTAAAAACATGATTCTATTATCTCTATTTCCTTTGGATTTCTGATTTCTAGAAGACCTTTTCCTCTAAAGATTGTGTATTAACTTCCTATACAAATTAGGCCTTCAAATCCTTTTCCTTTGCTACATAGAATGTCGTGGGTTTTAACCTATAAATACTACATTCTGCCGCACATCTCATTCACCATCCTCTACCATATTTTTCTACATTCATACATCCCTTAAATACATTCATCCTTCTTGTGCCGTGAGTATTGCAAGGAAAGAGAAGGAGCTACCTGGTGCCGAGCCTATGCCCAAGCCTTTGGGAGTGTTGGAGCGTTTCTAGGTGTTTTCCATCTTTTACTTTCAATGTCTAATTTAAGTTATCTTTGTTTATTTGCGAACATGAGGAACTGATTTCATCCAATTATTGTTTCATGAATCGTGAATGTGGTTTGCTTATCTGTTTTATTAAGAACTTGTTCTTGTATGTTGATTAAGGTGGCCAACTTAGTTTGCATGCATGAATTTGATGCTAGAGTATAAGGAAATTTCACCCAATCGTTATGAACTTATATTCATGAGTAGTAAAAGTCGCTAGTCACGATTGTGTAAGTAAATCCTAGGCAAGAATAACATGCTTTTCATAGTTATGAATGTCTTGTCAATGTTTATGATTTCCATTAAACTTAATGATCTTCGTTATGTGGCTCTATCATGCGTATTCCATAGTTAGGGAACGTAATAAAGAATAATTTGGTTGATGCGTTATCCATTCAATTCAATGAGTCTAGGGAAATCTGAGAGTTAATTCGTTCAATACAATTAATTTGGGGCATTGTCATGTCGAAAGAATAATTGGAAATCAATTCGTATGCATATGTTTCATGTGTGGAGAAGGAACCCTCTAACTAGTCTTTCACCATTCTATTTCATCAATTTCGTGTCTTCTTAAGTTTGTTTTACAAATTTATGTTTTTAAGTTTTAATTTCGTCAAAACACAATCCCTTTTTCTTAAGTCTTGTTTTTTAGAGTCAAGACCTGTTTTCTTTTAGTCTTTTGAGTCAAGTTAAGTCTTATTTTCATCAAAATCACTTGTTAGGTCTAGAATTGAGTCAATTTCATCTAGTTTTGTTGTTTTGAGTGTTTTGAGTTGGTTTTGAGTCTATAGAGTCTAGTTTAGTGTTTTTGAGTCTTATGTGTGTTGATTAGCATCCCTAGTTAATCTCCGGTCTAGAACGATCCCTACTTGCTTAATACTACAATTGTCATCAATTGGGTTTAATTTGTGTGTCAAGTTAATTTTCACACCAACAATGCAAACATGTAATAAGGAGCAGATAAAACTCAAGGATGTCATACAACAAGTTTATGCTCACAAATAGTATTAAAAGCATAAGATGTACGAAAAGTCTACTTGTAAAGCTAGACATGGCATTTCACATCACAATATATAAAAGCAGTTGTTGGGAAAATCACATATACATATACATATGTAGAAACAAAAAGACTCACATAACCAAAGCGTGCTCGCCTCAGTGAGCCTTGTCGTTTGTCGATCCAAATAAGCTTGTTCCTATACCAAGTCACGTTGACTTTAGCAAGTACTTAAACATAAATCGTACCCAAAATGGACTGATTACTTATAATCTATCCAATTTTTGCATTTTACAAAATTGCCCCTAAAACTAAAGGTAATTGCAAGGATGCCCCCAACTTCCTAGAATTACCAAATAGCCCAAAAGCTTCAACATTTTTTACAGTTTGGTCCTTGTTGTAAAAACAGTATACAGCAACAACATTCGTTTCTAAAATTTCCCACCAAACATGCATATTCTAACATTGTACAATTTCTAACACCTAACGTGATTAACGAAATATACCATTGGGGTTCTCGTCCATGGTCGCATTTGGCCGGAAAATGGCCTGCAATTCCATGGTCCTTCGAAAATCTGAAAAAATGAACCCGAGTTGATTTCTCAACCATTTTCGCAGAAGAGGTATCAAAATTAAGCTTAGGACAAGAGGAACGTTTTTATACCTCTTTGGGAAACAAAATTTGGTCAGAGGTGACCGGAAATTGGCTTAAAAGCCACGGCCAAAATCGAGTTTTGCATGAACTTGATGGATTTAAGCATGCAAGCTCGAATCTGTGGTCAATGGGTTGTGGGAAATCTTCCTACACGCTCAACCCCAGTTTTGCTCGGGAATTCTACAAACTCGCCGGAAAAATGGTAGGTTAGATATTCTTCCCTCAAACGCACTGAAACATACATGTATGCTAGTAAAACGTACTGAAAACTTGAGAGAGTGCTTAATGGTGGAAATCCCGAGCTTACCATGGTCGGAAGAGTGATTATTCCATAGGCGATCGTCGACATACACAACGAGGTTTTCGTTTTTCTCTAGGTTTCTCACAGTCAAACAGTGGGTAACAAGTCCCAGAGGTTTTAGGCGATTTTTGGTTGAGTTTGGGAAGTTTTAGAGATGGTATGATGGCTGCATGGGTCGCGCCGAGAGGAAGAGATGAGTTTCAGAGGGAGAGAGAGCTACGGGTGTGGTAAATTCAGATGTGAGGTAAATGAGTGAAAAGAGAGAGGGAGTGACATGAGGGAGTATGGGAAATGGCTTGTGCGTGTCAGATAGAGAGAAGGAGAGATGTGAGGGAATGCGGTAGATTAAGATGTGAGGGAAATGAGTGAAAAGAGAGAGGGAGTGACGTGAGGGAGTATGGGAAATGGCTTGTGTGTGTCAGATAGAGAGAAGGAGAGATGTGTGGGAAATGAGAGAGAGAGAGAAACCGGTTGTAAATGGGAGAGAAAGGGGGAGGCAGATTGTCTGCTCTTTCATTATCATCTCCTTCCCATCTCCTTTTATATTGTGTGATTACAGTTAAGTTACATTAATATTTTATATTGATTTTTTTTATAAAGATAATAAGACATGTTAACGTGGTTTAACCGTGACCATACAAATAAGAAAAGATGGAAAAGACATGGTAAAATGAGGGTTGACAATTTGCCTTCGAGAAAGGGGAGTATGTAAAAGTGAAAACAAAGTGAGAATTGATTTAATAATGAAAAGTAATGATAGTGTCTGATGGAGAAAAGCGGGTTGTCCAAAATCCAAATAAACCATTATTCTAAAGATCAACTTGCACACACCAACCAAAGTGGTCAGTACATGCAATCAAAAAACTCTGCACGAAGGCAGATTTCAATGTCCCAAAGGACAAGTATTGTTTGCCTTCCCTTTTTCCATGTCCTTCTATGCTCTATTGTTTTGTGTGATCAAGTTAAGTCATGTTAACATTTTATATTATTTTTTTATAAAAATAATAAGACAAAAATAAATAATAATATAAAATATTGATATGACTTAACCGTAAACACACAAACAGGAGGGCATGGAAAAAGGGAGGGCAAACAATCCTTGTCCGTCCCAAAAGACCCATGCAGTGGTGCACGCTACACAAGGAGAAATTTCAAGTTTTAAATTTATCATGGGTATTTTTAGATAATTTCGATCGTAATTTGTTCGTTATAATTTCGAATTGAATTCCGTCAGTGGTCATGTATTTGTGAAAATAAGTATTATCCGAAAATAGTAAAATATGACTGAAAAAATGTAGGGAAAATTGAGATTCCCGTGAAAGGTCTACGTGGTATCACATAGGTATTTTGATAATTTCACAACTATTAAAAATAAAATATGATAAATTTCAGGACGGATGTCACAACTTCTGCTTTAGGGGACGCATGTTTTTCATCTGGCAAGTGCTTTATTTTTTGTAGTGTGAGAACTTGCTTTAGTCCGATAATTAGTTTGTCGCATTTAATCAGATACACAAAAGGGCAGTTCTTCTCTAGACATGACATCCGTTCTTTGTTAAAAACAAATAATAAGCAAATGGTCATAAAATTAATGATAACATGTCAATAACAAAACATATATATCAAAGTGTTATTAATACAAAATCCATCGTCTAACAAACGACACTCGTTCTGCGAGAAAAATTCCTACACAAAAAGGGCACGTATCTCTATGAAAAGTTTATCTTTGTTTTTATTCTTTGAAATGACGAAAATATAGAAGCCAATCGGACACCCAAAATTACAGCAGCAAAAACAGGATATCAAGATTGATCAGACTGAGATATATATAAGTTTGAATATCAATTTCTTACCTTATAGATACATATCTCCATTGTTTCCAACACCTGGTCAGAGCCGAGAGAACCAAGAAGCCATTTTTCTGCACTTACACCTGCACCTATATATGGATCGCCGAGTGAGAAAGTGAGTTCATCATCACCAGACATCAGTGCAGTACGTGTGGTGGTACCGAGGAAGAACCCACTGCAGAGACCAAATTAGAGGTGCAGGTGCAAATGCAGATAAATGAAACCACCTTGCCCATAACATTTCGTTTGAATAAAATAATCTACAGCCCCTGCAAAGACAGGCACAAGTTTTCTCCATTAATGCGGTCTGTGTGAGATTGACATATATATAGAAAGAGAGGGCAATATATTAGATCTTTTTATTATATGAAAGGACAAAAATATGGCAAATTGCAGTATAAAATGGAAAATGAATACTTTTTTTAGGAAAAATTAAGTTCTTAACCTTTCTTTTGTTATTCCATTGATTAAAATCCTATTCCTTTTCAATTTTTAATCAAGGTCCTTGAGTATTAATAACATCATTAATTATTTCAATAATATTTTTTTTATTTCTAAATATATTCATTTAATGTTAAAAATGTTACAATTAATATATTTATATTTATGACTAAATTTTTTATCATATATATTTAGTTTTAGTTTGTTCCCATTTTTAATTTGCAACCCTTTTTTAATTTGTGCCAATTTTCATTTCAGTTTTAATTTGTACCCATATATTAATTTCTTTTTGTGCCCATATTTTTTTAAGTTTTATTTGTATTTGTACCCATATTTTAAAAAAAAAATTATTTGTACCTATTGATGCACAAAACCGGAGGTCTTGGAACAACGTAAATCCGACCGTGAATCTGCAGGAAATGTAAATAACACAAGATGTATCGTGGTTCACTCCAAGGTTAGGGCTACGTCCACACTAATTTGTGAGGGAGAGAGTGTGAGAGCTTTGCTCTAGATATGAGAGACCTAGGGTTTGTGAGGGTGAGGAGGCCCTTTTATAGAATAAGGGCTCGTCCCCTAATTACATATTTGCCCATTCCTTTATTACATAATTACATTTAAGTCCCCCGAGTATTTATACGAGGTCTAAATACGAGGCCCTAAATATGGTATAAACAGTAGTCCCCCAAGTCTTCAATCAAGAGAGTCTTTTGGTTGGAGACTTGAAATTCAGTCAATGTGTGGGCCAAAGTAACTAGATGCTGTCTTGAACTGATGTTCGATATGAGGCAGTGCTCAATCTAAAATGATGCTCCACTAGAAGTAGCACATGCTGCGAGGCTGCTCAGCTCATGGCTTATGTTGCCTTGGTTGGCTCGGCTTGTGGCGTTGAAGGTAAGGGAGTCTCTTTTATAGAATAAGGGCTCGCTCCTCAATACATAAATGATGGGCTAAAGTTGATGCTCACGGCGGGGCGGTTGCTCAGTAGGCGGCGATGCTCTCTAATGGTGATGAGGGGCTCCCTTTAATAGAATAAGGGCTCGCTCCTCAATACATAAGTGATAGGTTAGGAGTGATGCTCACGGCGAGGCGGTTGCTCAGCTGGCGGCGTTGCTCTTTAATGAAGACGAGGGAGTCTCTTTTATAGAATAAGGGCTCGTTCCTCAATACATAAATATGGGCTAGAGTTGATGCTCGTGGCGAGGCGGTTGCTCAGTAGGCGGCGATGCTCTATAATGATGGTGAGGGAGTCCTTTTTATAGAATAAGGGCTCGCTCCTCAATACATAAATACGGGCTAGAGTTGATGCTCTCTAATGATAGTGAGGGAGTCCCTTTTATAAAATAAGGGTTCGCTCCTCAGTACATAAATAATGGGCTAAGTCCCCCAAGTATTTTTCATGAGGCCCAATATATGGTACATAATGTAGTCCCCCAAGTCTTCGGTCAATAAAGTCTGTTGGCTGGAGACTTCAAATTGAATCCATGTATGGGCCGAAATGGCGGTTGTTCAGAGGCAGTATTTGTATACCCTGCACTGAAGCTTTGTAGGTGAAGCTTTGCAAGTGAAGTTTTGAAGCTAGAGTTCTGTAAATGACGCTTTTGAAGCTAGAGCTTTGTAAATGAAGCTTTTGAAGCTGATTGACATAAGTGATGCTCATGAATGTTTATGTTGATTGACATGAGTGATGCTCATGGATGTTGTCATGAGTGATGCTCATGAATGTTAACATGAGTGATGCTCATGAATGTTGACATGAATGATGGTCATGAATGTTTATGTTTGATTGTCATGAGTGATGCTCATGAATGTTTATGTATGAATGCTCATGTATAATTTGGAGTACTGAGCGTACTTTTGATCACCTGGTTGGTGGCATGAAGGAGAGTACGGGTTGTACATATCATCACCTGGTTGGTGGCATGAATGGCTAGTTGCCAAATGATATTAGAGTACGGGTTGTACATTTCATCACCTAGTTGGTGGCATGAATGGCTAGTTGCCAAATGATATTAGAGTACGGGTTGTACATTTCATCACCTGGTTGGTGGTAATAGCGGTAGGTTGCCGAATAATTTTGGAGTACTGGGTGTACTTTTGATCACCTGGTTGGTGGTAATAGCGGCAGGTTGCCGAATTATTGTGGAGTACTGGGCGTATTTTTGATCACCTGGTTGGTGCTATTTTTGGTTTATGTGCCTTCGCCCTCCACACAACATTCCAGCCCATTTACTTTGGGCTTTGCCCTTTTTTTTTTTGTTAATTACCCTTTGATAGGGTTTATACAGATGTCTCTGAAAGATAATAAATTACATCGTTCAAAACAAAGGTTTTGACAGTTGCAGATCGTTGGTGCGTACTGCACCTACTGCGTACTGGGTGGTTGCAGATCTTTTTCCATGTGCGTATTCCAATGACTTCTTCAGAAAAGTGGGAACATCCATAATGAAAGTTTTCTTTTTCGAAAGTTGATGGCATCTTCTACTTTACTTTTGCTTTTCTGCTTTCTGCAATTATCTCCAAGACTGATTGAGTAGTGGGTTGTTTCGTCATTCTCTGGTGGTGGCCTGGAGAAGTAATAATGATAAAGCAAAATAATAAAGAAAAAGGAGTCTTATCTGCAATCACGGAAAAATCAATTCTCTAGCCCTTTGTGTTGTCCCCGTCGACTTTTCCAGAAAAGCTTCTTTAGTCTCTCTCCTCCTGACAGGCTAGGAAGCCTTTGTAATTAAGCAGGCAGTGGGAAAAGCAGATCAGTTGCTTGATCATCGACGCCATCCTTTGGTTTGAGGTCCACTTGGCTGACGAGTTGGGAGTGCCTTGGGTCACTTTCTGGATCTCCGAACTCAAATCCCTCTCCGTTCATGTGCATACTGATCTCATCCGCCGTGAAAAGAAACAAAAGCTGAAACAAAGGCTAACGCCTCAGTCCATCATATCACCAACACAATTCCGTCGCTGCAATTCTGAAACTGAAGGAGAAAAATGGTGGATGGCAATGATGACCCGTCGTTGAAACCGAAAAAATCAAAGAGCTTTCCGCAGCTCAAGAAATCACGAACCATCATCACCACCACCGCATCCGACGACGCAGAGCCTACAACCCCAATCTTCCCGAACCTTTCACCCCTGCTCCATTTCCTAATCCCGAGGAACTCGAGAACCCATTTCAAATCCTACATCCCAAGCCCATCTCTACCCCAGCGCCAAAATGCGTTAGTGGCTTCGAAGATCTAACCTCGTCGGGTCGAGCGAGGCCGTTGAAGCCAGAAAAGACGTTGGGAAGAATAGGGTGGCTGGCGTCGCGCTCAACGATGCACTGAGCACCGGTGTTGACATATCTGCTGCAGAGCACTGCCCAGCCTCCAGAGATCCTAACGGAGTGAAATATTCCTTCCCCGTCGAACAGTGTAGGAGAGCACGTGCCTAGGGTCCACTGAGGGTTTCACTTGAGGGTTTCAATTCTTACAGCAGAGATGCTACTGATGAAGCCTCCGCCATTTTTACCGATCTCAAATCGCCGAGTTGAAATCAAGGACAGAACAGAGTTTATTGATAGCCGGAAGAGAAGGCGAACG